CCTGTAAATGTCCAACCAAAAATTTAGTCCTGCTTGAGTTTTTTCAGGCTTTTGGCTTACAAGACCAAGTAGTGTCTTTGTGTTGAGCCCTGTATGCACAGGAATTAGTTTTTGTTTTGCTGGCTGTATCTGTCCTGTTGAGTGTGGCTAAGGCATGGAAACTCTTGGGCATCTGTGCTGCTAAACTGTTAGAATGGCATTGCCCCAAGCCAGCCAGCACTTCCTCAGTCAATACCTAGCCATCTGTGGTCTAGAGGTTTGCTCAGGTCCCTGACTGTTCCCAGGAGACAGGAAATCTCTTGGGAGACCCTGTGTGTGCATGGAGGAGAGAAAGGATGGATGAATTTAGGAATCTGCCGGGAGCCAATCTGCCAGTTGGCCTCAGGACCAGAGGATAGACATTGACACTGTGTTAATTTTATTCATACCTTCCCATCTTCATTTTCTAATGAAATTAGTCGATCCTGATTCTTCCACAGCAAAACTTCTGTCTTGCTCAGTTGTTGCAAGGCTCTTCACAGACAGATTTAATTTGTAATGAATTCACCGTGCCCCTGCTTTGGGAGGATGGGACTATACTTAGACCTAGTCAATGTATCAGCTGTCCAAATAGTTTTTGCAAACCCTTTTTCTTTATTTTTATTATGGTTCCACTACATGAACCACACACTGGAGGCATCTTTAGTCTAGCTCTTGGCTACAGAACCCTCAGGTAAGAGCTCCACCAGCTGGTTAGGAAATGGTAGGTTTGTGTAACTACCATCTGAGCCAGAATGGTACGTTTGAGTGCTCAGAAGATGTTCATCCTTGTCCCCTTGGGAGTACTCACAGAGCATTGCAGGCCTTGGTCCTTGCCTCCCAAGTGGATCAGACATTTCAGGATACCTCATCTATATTGGATGGCTGTATCGGGACAGCTCATCTATATTGCTCCAGTACTCTACTGTCAGGCATTTCATGAAGTGGTGTTTCATTCCTGTCCCATGGCGGCTGTGTGTGTTAAGCACGTGTGTGGGGATTGCAGTGCCGAAACTAACGCTGAGTTTTCTTACTCTCTACTCAGAATCAGCCACGTCAGAGACTTCATAACAAAGTATCAAGGATCTGAGGAAAGTGTTCCCTTCACACTGACGACCTCCCTGCCTTTTCGAGAGCTGCAGGATGAGACACTCACACTTGAGGAAGCAAAGTTGCAAAATGCTGTTGTTGTTCAGAGACTTCGGAAAACAACTGAACCATTCAGACTCTTAGTGATAAAAGCACCTGACAGTGACTACAAAACTACTGCTACACCTAATGGACAACTCAAGAATGAGCAAAAAAATGCTATCAATAGTACAAGATCAAATTAGCTTTTAACTGACCAAAAATTATCTGCAGGGTGAACTAGGCAAAACCAAAAACATAACCAGCAATATGTGGATGCCCTCACATCCTCATGCACTGTGCTCTTAGAGAGCAGAAAGGGTGCTGTGCTGTCATCTGCTTTAATAGAGGTATTTTCAGCTAAATTGGGTGGTCAGAGCCTGGCTGTGTAATGTAGCAGGTAACTACAGCAGATCACCCTTAGAATTTGCTTAGGTAAAAAGCTTCTTAGTTCTTTAGTAAGTGGGTCTAGGTGGAACGGTTCTCTGAGACTTAACTACTGATAGCACCTTTTAAGGAAAAATAGTATTTATTTTTGCACTTTGGACTGAAGTAAAATGTTTCACTTGTATTGTAGTGGAAACTGCTGCAGTTTGCATTCTTCTCACAGTAACTCTTCAGCAACCAATACCGCAGGCAAGCTCACATTTGAACTGTAACTTGAAAATCTTCAGGATGCAACTTTTATCACAAGATCTACATTGTAATAATGTTCTGTCAAGTCTGCACATGGTGGTAGGTGCATGTGTGAGAAGATGCAAATGAGGTAGTCTAGTGCATACTGCATATGAAGTGCCTCAAAGTAAGCTCTGAAGGAATTGTTCTTATCAATGGTTGAAGTGGTTTCTGCTTCTTTTGGGCTGCTACGGGTGTCTTGCAGATCAGGTGATGTTAAACTACCTAGCTCATTAGCATAGGGACCCACTTGTGGCTTCGTCACACAGAAACTTCAGCTTTTTTTGGCTATCAGGAAGCAGGAGTAGTAGTTTAGAGGGACACAGTTGTTTTTGTACTATTCATCTGCCTCTGTCCTGAACTGCCCAGCTGATGGAGACACTAATTGCATGTGGTCAAGTTTCAAAGATGATGTTGAAAATCCTTACTTGAAAACTGAAATTTTCTCTCCACTTTACTCCATTTCCATCCGAAACCTTTTATTTTGCTATTCATGTACTCATGGCATAAAGTTTGTAGCCAACTATTCTGTCTTTTGCTAAAAGAGAAAAAAACCATAAAGACTTAATATTTTGTACTGTGTTTACTAAGCATGTGGGTTTGTGAATGGAACTAAAATCTCCGGATAAGACATATTCCAGGGTCTTCAGTAAGTCCTGAGTCCTCTGTGCTACCTGTGCCAAAGGATGGTTGTTGGGATTGTACTTCTTTTGTGTGGTTTGTATTTTCTTGGTTTTGTTCTAAATAGAAAATTATTTAATTGGAGCAACTTGTATTCTAAAAAGCAGTGGGACTTCAGACTAGGGTTGTACTCTCCTTCATTCCCAGGGATATAAGTTTAGCATATCTCATGGTGTGTTTGAAATGAAAGTCAACTGGGCAAATATCTATTCAGTGTCCTCAGAACACAAATCTCTAGAAACTATGCCTTTAAACACTTTCCAGTGCTATAAACCTCCAGTGCTACTGTGCCATTTAGGTTCATGTAGCAAGTGGTACAATTAAATTTTCTTTGCTCTTGCTCTGACTCCCATATAAAAAACAAAAATAAATGTGCAGACAAATCCATTAGTAAAATTGAAAAGACAAACCACCTACAGATACAGCTCCAACCCTCAGTTCCCAGAGCTTCCTGAACAGGGAATTCTATTAATCAGTGCTTTCAAATTTAAGTCTTAATATAAAACTTAGTAGTAGAAAAGTACATGTGGTTGATGGTGAGCTCAGTTGTTCTATCTGAAAGGTGTATGAAATGTCAGAAGTAACAGTGTGCTCCTATTCATGCATTTGCAGCACAAAGATTTGAAGAAATTAATAGTGTAAGATTGAAATTAAAGGGTGGAGTGTGAAATTTTGAAGTACGTAAATCCATTTTCCTTGCTATCCTTTGAAAGAAGCAGTAAGTATTTTGTATTTCAATGTTGATTCATGTCTGCTACCAGCATTTTAAGAGATTGGACAGCTTTACTAAAACTAACTGTCTGACTGCAGCTCTGGTGTACTTGAGTGTGCATTTGCAGTTTGAAAGTGTCAAGATATTAATTAGAAAATGAGGGAAAATCTTTGAGAAGTGTCAAGTGATGCTGGCTGCATTAATCCCATGCTAGATTAGAAGGTGCCTTTAAAAAAAGGAAACAAACTGTGATTGGATAACTTATTTCCTAATTTGGAGAACTTTTTTGGGATGAGTAGAAGACTTTCCTAAATCCAGTTGGTTTTGGTCAAGTTTGTAAAGACTGATTAGTTACCTAATTGTGTGTAGGCAGAAATTGTGCATTCGTCAAATAACAGTATAACTGGCTTGATCAGTGCTAGAATTTGTGAAACACACAAGTACCATCAGTTATTCACTGTTTCTTCACAGGCCTTTGCTATTTTATGTAAAGTCTGTGCCTAAAGATACTTTACAGCAAAACTGAAACAGCCAAGAGAATAAGGGAAGGAAATATTTTATGTAGTTTCCCTTTTGAGAGGTAAAAAGGATTAAATGTGTTATGAAGACAGTGTATAAAGACAACACAACTGAAATGTTGAATTTGAATGTGAGATGCATACTTTGTGTTTAGCTTGGTACTGGGCAATCCATCTCTTTTGAAGCTCCTCTGGCATCAGCCTCTAGAGACCCCCTTCAGAGAGTTTTCAGTAAGGTGTGTTAAGGCCACAATCTCAGTTTTCTGTTAGAAAATGTGTAGAAAATTCTTTAATGCCTTGTTCTTTTGGAATTTTACTAATTTGCTATAATTATTCTTATCAAGCGAGGCTGCACAGGCTTTAGATGTCAATACTCCATGGCATGGTTTACAGTGCCAGCCCAGGACCCACCAGGTGACCCTGTCAGTAGCAGAGCCCTTCAAATCCGTCACGCCAAAAAGCCCTGGGTGTAGAGATTGATTAGTCATCATCTCCCCAAGACAAACAGATCACAAGTCCTGTTGGCTTCGTTAAACCCTCTTCTCTTAGGCTACCTCACTGTTGAAAGGATTCATACTTTAAATTGCAATTTGTATTTGCTCTGATGCTGAGCATGCGTGCAGGAGCGCTTTCCCAGGGGGCAGGGTGGTGGTGAACTCGTGTATCCTAGATAGGAGTGTTGGCTCGGAGGCAGTAGAATCACAGAATCAATGAGCTTGCCGGAGACCTCTGAGATCGTCGAGTCCGACCTATGGCCTTGTCAACCAGACCACGGCACTGAGTGCCACATCCAGGCTTCCCTTAAACACCTCACTGGGCCGGTGTCTCCACCGCCTCCCTGAGCAGCCCCTTACAATGTCTAAGCACCCTGACGGAAGAGTCAGCAGCCGCTCTCCCCGCAGCGTGTCCCGGCTCGGGAGTGTTGTGTGCTCTCCGTCCAGCTGCCAGCGTTGCCGTCCGGCATGGTTTTACATCCCTGCCTATCGGGAAACCGCGCATCTCTTCACGGGGCAGAGGTGGCGTTTTGGGGCTGGATGAAAACAGCCCTGGTCCCCTTCAGCCCCGTGCCTCGAGCCCCGCACCCTGTGGGGCTGTGGCCGCCGTGAGTGCCCCGCAGCTCTCCCCACTGAGGGTGCGGTGTGTGGGGGCTCGGCGGGGCGGGGGCTCCCCTGTCCCCGGCCCTCAGGGCAGCGCCGGCGCCTTCGCCCCTCCAGGGCGCTGGGAGAGCGCGGCGAGGACACCGCCCGCTGTCTCTGGCCTCCGCTCCGCCGCCCCGCCCCGGGCGCGCAGGTGTCGCACGGGGTGGGATGTCCGCGGTGCCATGGCGGGGGCTGCGAGGGACACCCCGACGGGCGAGCAGAAGGTAGGGGCCTGCGAGGGGCAGGGCGGCTGTCGGGGGGCTCGGGGCTCCCCTCGGACACAGCCTAGAGCGGGGTCCCGCCGCCTTTCGCTTCCAGCGGGGGCGGGTCGCGGGTGCCCGGTGGGGCTGGGGCAGCCCGGGTTTGTGCGGGGCTCCGTGCGCGGCCCCAGCGAGGACCTGGAATAGCTCCTCAAGCCTTCCCGCCGCCCCTCCGCGATGGCCGGGCAGCGCCGCAACTCCGGGGTGTTTTCCCTGGAATGCACTACGCGGGATTTGCTCTCTGGCCGCCGCGGTGCCAGGGAAAAGCCGCTTTGCTTCCCACCTCCTGTCCCCTCCAGGGCTGCCTCCCGGACCGAGGCAGGAGGGGTTCGCTCCCCCGGAGCCTCAGAGACTCCCGATTTCCAGGAGTGCGTTGTGGTGTTGAGGGCATCTCACGCTGCCTCCTCAGACTCGGTGCTGGCCGCGGGAGGAGTGGGAGGCAGGTGAGGGTGAGAGAGGACTCCTCAACTCCATGGCTCTTGAGGGAACACCAGGTGAAATCGGGAATGGGCAGCTTCCAAACACAGCGGATGAGGAAGCTTCCACAGCATGTTGGGGGACGTTGAGCCCATGGAGTTCTTCAGACACCTAGAACGTCCTATTCGGGCTTGAATTTTTGTGTTTGGAAGGCATCTGTGTGAATTCACGGCATAAGTCTGCCTATGTTGCACAGATAACACCGTCTTTGTTTCATAGAGTTCCCCAGAGTTACATTGCCAGCAGCTGGAGGAATATCCTGAGAAAGCACCACGGTATCCTTCCCACCTTACTCATATGCCCTTTCCTAGCTGTCTGCACACAAACCCTGCTCCTGGTTTCTTCCACTCAAGGGTGGACTGATGTCACTAAGAAACCTGAAACCAGTCCTCAGGATGCTCGGTGTGAGGGACCTGGGATGCCACCCGTGACTGCCGCACTCGTGCTTTCAAGAGGCAGTTGTTTGGTCACTCACAGAACAGAAACATTACCAGTGTTAATTCCACATTGAGAGAAAAGCTGACTCAAAAGCTGCTCCTCACTAGCTACATTTCATTGTTTCTCAGATAAACCTAGACTAGCATTTATCTTTGAGTCACAGGTTTCACTCTCTGTTCTTACTGCTTTTAAATTACTTGTTGGTTCAGTTCTGGACTCCACTGATAACAAATAGCTTAGGACAAAATGCGTCTGCTCTTTATGTCTCTAACAGTTGCTGAGTTATTTTCAATGAGCTGAAACACTTTCTGTAGAACTACGATGTTCTGCTATAAATACTGTATTCAATTTCTGTTCTGTTGGGGAAGAGAAAATTTACAAGTATGGTTTTAACTTACAAGAGAATTAAAAATAAAGGAACTACAGTGTAGGAGAAGCAATAATTTTCCATAACAATGTTTAAGCTTTCTATTTAAGGAGCAAAATCAAATCTCTCAGTTATTATGCTTTCTTGGTTTGCCTTGAAACACAATTAAATTTGATATGATGAGAGCGTATACAAGTGCAAATTTTTCAGGTTAATCTGAGAACAAAAAAAATTGTAACTTTGTTTGACCTTCCTCTTACCTCTCATGCCATCATCATCTCACTAAACATCTCACTAAAGCTTTCTCCTAAAGCTTATAGAAGCAATTTGATGTTGATGTTCAACTACACCGCAGGGGTCTCCAAATGAAATTATGATTGTAATTTTATGTTTCATTCCTTATTTGACCACTGCCTACACATTCCTGCCTCTATTGATTTGTGGAGTACTTTCAGCTTGCTGATGAACCTGCACAGGTGAAGACACTTTTGCTGGATTTCACAGGAATCAAGTGTTTTGTGTTTTTTGAGGAAGTAATGCAGCAGGGACACCCAGCCCTTGGAGGAAAGCTCTGTGAGCTGCTGATAGCCAGTGCTCTGCTGTTGGCCACGCAGCCCTGCTCAGTGTTATCCTTCCCAAGACGGTTTCTGTCAGCATTTATGAGCAATGTCATGCAAACCCAACCAAGGCTGGAGGACTTGCTCCTGTAGATCCTGTAACAGACAGCTGTTGCCGTGTGCTCGTAATTGTAGGAAGTTAGAGAGAAGGAAATGCTTCAGCTTTTCTGGTGGAGAGTCCTATCTTCTTTTTTACCACTTTCCATTGCATTAGTAAGGCAGAAAATGCGGTTGTTACCATATGATTTCAACGTGGAGAGGCAAAAATCTACTGTAGGCTGCTTCCTTTTGAAGGACACACCAGAATGTAGAGTCTGAAGGATTGCTTCTCATCAGCTAGAAGCTCAGGGACACTCAATGAAATTGCCATGCAGCAGATCTGCAGTGACAGTGCAGATTTCACACTATGTGTCATTTCCATGCAGAACTGCTGTGGTGTTTATGGCTTAATGTAAAAACAAGTTCCAAAAGCAATTAGGCAAAATAAAAGGAAAACAGCTATGGAACAGTGACCAGGATTTAACCTACCTTCCAGGGAACTCATGAGCCTCAGGTTCTCTGTGTTTATGTGGGTGACCAGACAGGACACCTCTGTATGGCCATGTCTACCTGACAGCTTGTTTTATTCTGAAAATAACATTCATAGCCAAAATTTAATTAAAACTTAACTACTGCTGTGACCAAAGTATTAACTTTGCTTCAAGGTGATCTGGGAGCAGGTTCAGAGAGTAGTTTAGCAGTATTCTAGGTGTGTGTGGAATTGCAGTGAGACTTCATAAAAAATGTACTAAGATTGTCAATTTTCTAGCCATGAAACTGCTGTAAAGACAGGAGTACCACGTGCAGTCTTTAAGTTTAGATCTTGATTGACCATTTAATGTACCACAGCTTTAATTAGATTCGTTCTTAAGAACCTGACATTCTTCATGTTCTAAAAACATTTTGGAATCATGCATATTATATACTTTTTCTGTTTTACCACTGCCTTAGCTATTGAAAGAACAAAGAGCAATGATTTCAAACTAAAAGAAGCAAGTAAGAATGAAATTCTTTACTATGAAGGTGTTGTGGCCCTGGCACAGATTGCCCAGAGAAGCTGAGGCTGCCCCATCCTTGGAAGTGTTCAGAGCCAGGTTGGGTGGGGCTCAGAGCAACCTGGGATAGTGGAAGGTGTCCATGCCTATAGCAGAGGGGGTGAATTAGATGATCTTCAGAAGTCCTCTCTGACCCAAGCCACTCAGTGAGTCTATGAAAATTACTAGTGAAAGTAAGTGTGAAAGCAGCATTATGTATCTAAAAGTTTTTTTCCAATTTTGAGGTTGCAATAGGATACAGTATTTGCATAGTAGTGCTTTATATCTCTTGATTTCAGCTAAAAGTCATCTTGCCAATGCTTGGAGATCAGGAGGGAAAGTATCAAGGGAAAGCAATCTTTTAATGTAATTTAATGACTAAAAAATAAAACTTATAAAAGGGAATGACTAAAAAAAGTGAGACAAAGTTTTAAAGCACGTAGCTTGTGGAGCAAAGCTCAAGGGGATGGCAGTAGGTCAAGCTAGCAAAATTCTGTGGACACACAAGTCTAGTAAAGCTCATATTTAGTAGGACTTATGTATGGAAAATGAAGAGTTACTTTGGACATCAAATATGTGTATAGTCTATTTGTTTTGTTTGCAATCTTTTATCAATTTAAATAGTATAATTGTTACGATGAAGTCTGTCTTGTGACTGTTTATCACTCTTTTTTTCTTTTCCTGCAACGAAGAAAATTGCCAATGCAGCATAAAGTGAGGCCTGCTGTGGTGATAACAGTTTGCAGCTCATGCCCTGACAGTGTCCACTTTCCTTGGGTGTAGTAATGGGATCCCACCCTGTCTTTTTCTGGGAAAACACAAAAAGGAAGGAGTCCTGATACTTGTGCTTGTTTGTTCACACCCATTCTGATAAAACCTTTCAAAGGGAAATGTTTAGCTGATGAAAGGCACTGCCTAGAAGTCTAAAACTTCTCGAAACTGTTACAGAGTAAAGATGATGGGTTAGTAAATTTACAAATGTTCAGAAATTAGGTAATTGTCAAAATATCATAGTGGTGGATTTAATTTCTGTATCTCTATTTTCATCCTGACCTAATATAAGAATTAAGGGCTTGTGTAGTCAGTTCAGAGAGAAGAAAAAGATCCAGGATTAGTATTACTGCTCCTCTTCATGTTTCCTGGCTTCTGCTGACAGCAAATTTTAAAGGGGGACTAAAGCCTAAAATTTAAAAATTTGATCTGATGTGTTGTCCCTCTGAAAGGAATACAGATTAACAAAGAGTCATTTTCTTTCTTAATTTTGAATTTTATGGCGTGAAATTGAATCTTATGTTTATTTGAAAGGCTTTCCAGTATCCTGCAACTCCTACTACTGAAAAAAAACAAAAAACAAAAAAAAAACCATATTCCTCATTAGAACTTCTATTTGTGCAATTTTTATATTTTAACTACTGGTATGCAACCTTATTTTCAACATTTATTTTATTCTTCCTTGGCTACTATATTTGAGAATATTCTTGCATGCTTATGGTACTTTTCAAACATCAAATGACAAATGAGACAGCACAGTTTTTACAAAAATTTTTAAATATACTTGGCGTGATTTTCTAAAAAAATCTTGGGTCCAAAATCACTTATCACATAATGCTAATTTTCACAAAGATATAGAAAAGTCAAGTCAAAAGGAAGATGTGCAAAGTCAAGTGTCTTTGCCAGTGTCACACCAGGATTTTGTGACAAAGGAAGGAACAAAGCATGAATGTTTGGGATCTGTTTAGTCTGTGAAACTTTCTGTGAATGTTGCTTAATTACTGTGGTATGAGAGTATGCATCAATTATTATTATGAAAGGTTAATAAGATAAATATTTATTTTAAAGTAAAAATTTTTAATCTTTAAAAATATGAATTGAGCATTCAAAGACAAAACTAAGCTCAAATAATAGTGTAGTGCTTCTCTGCTGCTTCTTGCTTGTTGGTAGACTTGTTTCCTTTTAATAGCTTGTGAGAGGAAGGCAGGTAGGCCTGAGGGTCTTCACAAGTCACTTTTAGGAGCACTGTAATCTGTTTTCAGGGGCTGAGTTAGAGAACAAATCCATTAAAAATCAAAGTAACAAGCACCCAAATGGTTGTTGATGATAGGGGTTGCAGGCATATGGATTTAGTAGTGGAATAGGTATGAAGCAAATACATTAAAGTGGTGTTAACTATAGACTTTAACCTTATCACTTGTGTGGCTTTTAACTTGTGCACCTTGGTTTACTCATGGTTTGTTCTGCTTCCTCTCACACAGGGGTACAGGCTCTCAGTGTGCAGCAAACTGTGCTATGCCATAGGAGGTGCCCCAAACCAAGTGGCAGGGAGTGCTGCTTCTTTCTTCCTGCAGATCTACCTGCTGGACATAGCCCATGTAAGTAGCACAAGAAACATTTGCAGACTGTAGACTTAACTCTGATATTGCCAGCTATGCTCCTGGAATGATAGAAGGGGAATTAATTAATAAATATTTTAAATTGTCTCGTCATTGCCTCTAGCTGTTCAGCATCCTGGAAACTGCATAAATTTGTCCAGAATTAATTTTTTCCCCCCTTAGTTCTCTTTCTGTCTTGAGATGGCTGTTCACTTTTACTTTGGGATTGTTACTAGAACTTTGGGTGCTGTAGAGCTCACACACTTGCAGACACAAGAAAAATCTGTTCTCAGTGTCAGGAGTCAAAGAGTGAAAGATACAAGACATCTGAAAACATTAATATCACCATGTTGAGGCTATGAAGTTTAGTTCATGTGGTTTAGTTAAAAATCACTCCAGTTTCACCCAGTAGCCAACATAATTTCACACAATTTTTATGTGGTTTGTCTAAGGTAATTTAATGGCAAATAAAGCTGAGTTATCCTTCCTGAAAGTCCTTTACTTCCGGTCCGTGGCTCTCTGGTGCAGAAGCAGACCTGGTGAAACAAAGCACTAGGACTCATCCCATTCATCTGACTTTCAGCTGCTCCAGCTAGATTTCAGGACATCAGAGACACAAAAAAATGTCAATCCATAAGACATTTTTACTGTTTTGGATTGTTTTGTATATATGCATGGTAACTAGGACAAGGTACTAGGATGAAAAAAAAGATTTTAGGGAGTTGAGGCCAAATTGTAGGGACTGTGAGAACAGCTCTGAAACTGCAGGTGGTACTTCAGCACTGATGACTGTTCCTATTTACTGGTAGAAACAGGAGGTTCTGGGTCAGATATCATTACCCACTTTCTGTCTAAAGACAGGATATTATGACTGGAGGTATCCAGAAGTTTGGGTATTTGTTTTTCCTATAAAAGTCTGGTATTAAAAGCTGACTTGTGACTTAATAAAATTTTCAACACAGTAAGGTGTGCATGTACAGCTGAGATCATCTTGAGTGTCTTGTTGAGATCAAAATCACAAGATGTAGAAAAGGAGACAGTTTTGGACAGCAGTGTCAAAGATGTCAAGTGGATGGTGTGGAATCTGAGGAGCTGGAGGTAGAAAAGGGAGCTTGGGGGTACAGCAGGGAGGTGGAGCAGCTCTGACTGAAGCTGTTGCCCACTGACATCAAGGATGGCAGTACAAGCCTTTGGAGATGGTGAAGCTCAAACTAAATGAGAAAGACTCCAACACCATTTTCCCAGGGTGCTTAGAACTATGATGACTCCCCCATTCTTTGCTTCTCACAGAGATTGAAAATTCTCGAGGCAAGGGACTGTTCCTTTGTGTGTTTTTGTACAGTGTCCAGAAAGCTGAGGTCCCATCCGTGTATCTTTGGGCACTACCTAAATAAGTGATATCAAAATAATGATTTTATTAACAAGCTTCTACTGAAACCAAATAATTTTGCTTAATGTTTGTAGTGATATACTTACACTTTCATTAAGGGGCTTAATTATTTGTTCCCTGATGGTTTAATTTCTTCTCTGAAGTAGTCCTGCAGGGACAGGATTTATTTCAAGGCCTGATAAATAGCTCTGAAATCCTGTGTTCTTTCCCATAAATTTTCAAGGGAGAGAATTTAATTATATAGTCACTACCTGGATTTATTTCTTGCCCACTTAGAGATCAGAACTGTTTTAGCTTCTTGAGAGAATATGAAAGTCACCAATTGTAATGTTTCATACATAATCTATATCCTTTCTAAGAAAATTATATTTTTATTCATTTTCTGTAACTTACAGGTTTTCAATTTTAATTCCTTGTTCCATCTAAATTACTTGTATAGACTACAGCCATAAATGGAAATCCAAACCACACAAAGGATCCTTGAGTCAAATTGCTAGAGAACACCAAAATTCTCAGATAAAAGGATCCTGGTCTTTATTCCTTCCAAATTTAGCATATTTTATCTTGTATTTTATTAACACTGAGAACTTTCTGGCATTGGTGCTGACAGACACTATCTAGATTTAGGAGATAAAATGCAGCCAACAGGAGTGTAAACCCATACCAATGACGAAGACAGGGTGACTGCAGTCTCCACACCTAACATGAAAGAGATTTTGCTTTTTCCTCAAAGCTTTCCTCCACCTCTGTGCCTCTAATATCCACTTCCTTTCAGTCTGTTCAAGTTATCCAAACAAAATACGAACGTGGAACTCACCTAATCTGTAGTTTTTTGTTCTTGTCCCACTCATAACCACAATATTTCAACCCCTCTATATTTCTGACTGCTATTTAGTGCTTATTTTGGCTGCTCTGTCCCTTGTGTGTGAGGAGCAGCAGTGACCTGCGGGCAGTCCTGGTGCAGCCCCCACAGCAAGAAGGTCTCAGGGCTGGTGGGCTGGTGGGCTGGTGGGCTGCTTGCCACCCTTTGGTGGCTGTGGGAGGGCACAAGCCAGCAAAGGTGGATCAGCAAGAAGGTGGGACACAGTCCAGTGCTCATCCCAGCCTCATCCCACCATGCTGCAATGGAATGCAGAGCCACTGTTGTTATCTGCTGGACACTGCCATTCCCAATCCTTCTCTGCCCACAAACATTTGAGGGTGGAGTATGTGTCTTGGAGCTGGTGGTGACAGGAACATCAGCTGCCACTGCAGTTTCACCTAATTTGGGCTAAAATGTAATGGGTGTGATGTCAGAAGTCCATAGCACCTGCCTTTTGTGCTGGTCATTCAGGACATTCAGAGATCACTGCTTCCTTCTTCTACCTCTGAGAGAACACCTAAGCAGATTCTGCAGGCAGGAGACCTGCACCAGCTGTGTTCCCGGTGATGCTGCCTGGGAGACGATATCCTTTGCAGGAAAGCAGGGGATACCTGCTCAAGCTTGGTGTTGTATCAGCTGTGTTTTCCAGGCCTTTGGAGCACTGCTATGTTGGAGCACAGAGATGAAGGGCTCTTGTCTGCTCTCACTGTGTTTAAGCCACAGAGGCTCTTTCAGCAGCATCTCTCAATAATTGATGTGAAGAACATTCACCTTTATATAGGTTTCAATGACCTTTTCTTTTTTATAATTGCAGTGATATGAACTGAGCACCTGGAAGAGAACCCACCTTTTTTAACCATTATGTGATGGGAATTCCTAAGCTCTGTACAGATACATGTGAAAAAATAACTCTCTTGCCTGGGATAAACTGTATTTCTATATAGGTACTAAAAGTATGGTCCACCTGGGTTAATTTCAGAGGTTTTTCTACTTGGCCATTTTATTCTTGTGTAATCCATGAACATTTTTCAAGTGAGATGTGATGGACACATGCTGGCAACTTTGATTTGAACAGATGTGCCTTACGCAATTCAGTTGTCACCCCTGAGTCCCGAGTGGATAAAGTCTGTTGTGCAACAGCCTCTTCCTCAGCCACATGCCACCAGCTGGCAGCCTTGTTGCTAATCTCAGGAGAGGAAGAAACTACTGCATGTAAACAGCCCCCTCTACCATTTTGTAGATCAGGTCAAGATAAAGATATGGGGAGATGGAGATGTGTGGGGGAAAAGCAAGTGGGTAATTACAGAGGAATTCTGTCAGATTGTATGACTAAAACAAGGACTTTGCTATTTGTCTGATTAATTTTCCTCATCCTAAACACACTCTGGATCTTTCCTTCCTTGCATTTTTCCCTTCTGATCCCTTGATTCACAGTGCCAATCTCTGTCTCATTTGTTTGCTGTGGGTAACCAACAGGAATTTCTATGACAGCAGCAGACATGTTTTGTAAATGAACTATCACTATTCTTTAAAACACTGAGGTGTTTTTTTTCTGGAAGGTTGCTTTATGCTGCTTCATTGTATTATGAAACAATGGCTCTTGTTTACTGTATTCTGTCTACTTTCAGATTACTCCGTTTCATGCCTCTTTGGTGCTGTTCATTGGCAAAGCCTCAGGTGCAGTTACTGATCCTGTTGCTGGCTTTTTTATTAGCAAAAGTAGATGGACAAAAATAGGCCGGCTCATGCCTTGGTAAGTATAAATGTGTACATATATTTACATATATATGTGAATATTGGCTGTTGTGATCATACAGCCACCTCACTGAATTAGTCTCAGGGATTGTATTCATTCCACATATGTAAAATAAAGACTAAAAATTTCCATGTCATCTTTTAGTTGTTCACCCATGAAAATACAGAAGAGATTTTCTACCACTGGAGGCTCAAACAAATAAAGCTAAGAGAGAGTATTTTTAGCAAAACTGGAATCTGACATCTAAAGCTTTTTAAAATCTGTGATTGAATTTTGATCTTTGTCTAGATTTCTTTAGTTTGACTTCACTCTTCCACAAAGTTATACTTAGGTTCCTAGAGTGCCCTCACATCTCACATCAGCCTTCCAGGAGCTCCTTTAACTCCCTAGGCCTTTCAGTTCAGAGAAGGATGCATGCACAGATGTAGAGCAGAAGTGTGTGTGGATGTGGAATAGATGTGACACCACGGCACCAAAGGGCTCGGCAGCCAGCACTGCCGTGGCACTGTGGGAGGCTGCTCTTACAGCACTTACCAGAGCCCTGCTTCTCCTACACCCTTTAGTCAGAATAGTTCAATAAAAAATCACCATGACCCTTACAATGAGTGAGATGCTGTAAGGTTTTGATGTTTTTGTGAAGGAAGTGTGTGATATTTCACTGTGATATGTTACCTACGTGCGCATGCTCTCCATGTGCTCCAAGGAGAGAACAATGAATGTTGCCCATATAGGAACAAGATTGACAGGTGTGAAGCAAGAAAAATTGGAAAATATTTGGGTCATTGAGCCGTGCTAGAGGAACTCAAGCTCATCTATGCCACAGGGCATGTGTTTGTTGTATTTTAATGTTTTGGAAGCCAAGGGGAGATTAACTACTTTGTCAAATAGGGACTTTTTCATAATTTTATCTCATACATTATATGGATGTCTTGTAAGATATTTTAAAGTAGTCGAGAATTTCTAATTGATATAACCCACAAACTTGATTTGCAACAAAAATCTAAGAGTAAATGTGTCCTGAGCAAGGAAGTTGAAATTTCAGGGAAAATGAGTGATTTTTTTAACTGATTCCCTTGCTGTTGTGCAGTTTAACAGCTACAGAAACTTGTCCATGGTCAGCTTTTATCTGACAAAATAGAGAAGGCAAGTACATGTTGGAAGAAGGCTGAGATGTGCTGCTCTTGGCCCAGTAGGAAAAGGGCCTTCAGGTTGAAGCTAAGCTTTTTGTCAAGTCTCATGGGAAAAGAGGAGCTTGCTGCTGTTTCTCTTTTCAGGATTTGGTTGGAGGCCAGGTAAATGGTGTGGTTTTAATGAGTACTGAATTAACCAAGTAAGAAAGCTATCCAAAAGGAAAACAATGAAATTTTTATACAGATGCCATTAGAAGTATTTTGATGGTTTTTTCTTTTTTTAAGTTCTCTGAAAATACAGCAATTTCATATGTTTATTGTTAGTGTTACATTGGTGTAAGAATGATTCCTGTCCTAGCACAAGCATGAACTTATTAGCCTTTTTCACTGTAAACCAGCTCCAGCACATCTTGCACTTCTTACAGGAAAAGTGCTTATCTAACCCCACCTTTCATCAAACAGCTGCTTTCTTTACAGGAGGATTTTGTCTGGTTTTATTTGGTAACACCAATATTTTCATGGGAATTCTGTTCCTAGACTTTTGAGAGGCCATTTTTTCACAAAGCAAAAAATGGGGCTTCTCTTAGCTTAAAAATACTTTAGTATTTTGAATGTTTTCTGACTTCTTAATATTCTAGAATGAAGCAATGGCATTTTTTCAGTCAGAAAAGCTTGCCAGCAAAGCAGGAACATTAGTAAGGGAAGTGAATGTTTAACTATCGCTTAATAGTGTCCTCAATATAACACAAAGTCATCAATCACTTATTTAATGGCTTTAAAAGGCAGAAGCAGACACTGACTTGAAATACTGGTTGAACATTTTGTCAAAAGAGATAATAGCTGGCAATCAGATATTCAGCAACTCCAGCAAGGCTTTGAAAACTCCCTGGCATTAGAGGGAAAAGGAAAATGTGGGAAAAGGGAGAACAATACCAAGAGGGTTGTTGCTAAAAAGTTGCACGAAAAAGTGACTGTGAATATATTTAGTGTGGTGACTCTGCCTGGACACCATCTGGAAGAGCTCATGCTTTTGGAGAGGAAGGCAGATGCCCTGAGATGTGTTAGGATTTTACCCTTGTTTATGTTTTCCATTGCTGTGGGCTGGGGACCAGAGGGACAGAGAATACCAGAACCTGGCACTTTCCTGGTAAATGTTCAGCTCCCAGTGATGCTGTCCATCTCAAAGAGCAGTGTGGGAAAGCCATTGTTTTACTAAACTATTTACCCACATTATTCTTTTGTATTCCAGGTTTTCAGTTCGCGATTGCAAAACAATCAGCTGACCCCCAATGTCAGTAGTGCTGTTGTGAAGGGATTAATCTGTTTTCTCTTTTATGTGTTTGGAAAATTTTTGTTAGGATCTTGGTCATCTAAATACATTGTTCAGTGCCTGATTTACAAGAATACAGGACATGCCTGATGCTGCAGCTCAGACTTTTAGGAAATAATAACAGCTAACCAATTCTGTATCATGGAGTTAGACAAATTTGACAAGTTCAGACAAGTATTTGTCTGAAATAAGTTTTAGACTAATGTCATTAATTGCTGGTTAATGGCAATGTCTGGAATATAAGTTTCTGTGCTTCTTTTTTTTAAGCCACCTTCCTCTCTAAAGATGATCCTTTTGTTTTTGAAGTGATTAGGAGTTAAATGGAGGAAATGCTCATATACCCAACTAGACACAGAGCGTAGGAGCTTTCACAACAAGGCTGTCCATTGTCTCTTAGGCTTTTTTCAGTATTTTTAAGTGTATCAACATATTTGCACTTGCTTAAAGTAGCAGCGAAGAGACTAAGTTCAGGGGAAAACCAAAGGCACTAAAATTAGAAGAGGGAATCTCAATAGTTAGTAAACT